GAGGGGAACGACCACTATACCCGTCGCTTCATCGCTCAAAAGTTTCCGGATTGTAGGTAAAATTAAGGCGAAGGGAGAAAATGCATAAAAGAAAAAATTTCCCCATTCGATGGTAAAAGCGTCGATTGAGAAAGCGAAGGGATCCCTGTGCCATGAACAGTAGCGATNCTCAGCCCCTTCACCCTACCGACCGCCCCCAATTTTTCAAGAAAAACCTCAATGAACCTAAGGGCGCCCCCTCAATTAAGGGTCAAAATCTAAAAGTGAAAATATAAGGGTCAAAATGTAAAGGTCAAAATATGAGGGTCAAAATCGAAAGATCAAAATCTACGGGTCACAAGGGTCAAAATCTAAGGGTCACAAAGGGTCATAAAAGGTTAGGGTTGAACCCTCCCCCTCCCTCGCCTCCCTGACAATCATCGGCATTGAATCATTAAAAATAACAGCAATCAGATCGAAAAACGAGCTCAGATTTTAAGATCAATTTGAGCAGTTAAACATTCGGACATTTCAGTCTTACGATTCCGACATATCGGTCTTACAATAAGACCGGAGTTTTTGCAGTGTATACGATTCCATAGGGGCAAAAAGGGTATTTCGTAAACTTATACGATTTTGTAGGGGCAAAATGGATATTTCGCAAACTTATACGATTTCTCATGGGGGGGGGGGGTTTATTGATAATTTACAACCAAAAAAATTGAATCGGTGAGTTTTTCGAAAATATCTCCGGAAGTAAGGGAGGTAGCAAATTTTTATTGAAAGTTTGGGGTCAGGGGAGCGGAGAAAGGAGTTTTATCAAGTTCTCGATAAAAAAAAAAACTCCTCGCCACGAATTATATTTCACAAAATACCCATTTTGCTCCTATGAAATTGAATAAGTTCATGAAAGAACCATCTTGCCCCTATGAAATCGTATGAGTCCACGAAAATCCTAGTTTGCTCATATGAAGTCGTATAAGTGCGAGAAATACCCATTTCGCCCCCATGAAATCGCATAAGTTCACGATCGATCCATTTTGCCCCCATGAAATCGCATAAGTTCACGAAATACTCATTTTGCCCCTATGCAATTGTATGAGTTCATGAAATACCCATTTTGCCCTTGAGAAAATCTATGATTGTGCAAAATACCCATTTTATCCCTATGAAATTCCATAAGTTTACGAAATACCCATTTTGCCCCTAAGAAAGCGTAGGAGTTGACAAAAAACTCATTTTGCCCCTATTAAATAATATAAGTTCACGAAAAACCCATTTTGTCTATATGAAATTGTATGAGTTCATGAAATATCCATTTTGCCCCTATTAAATCGTATAAATCCACGAAAAACCCATTTTACGCCTATGAAATTCCAGAAGTTTACGGAATACCCATTTTGCCCCTATCAAATCGTATGAGTCCACGAAAATCCTATTTTGCTCATATGAAGTCGTATAAGTGCGAGAAATACCCATTTCGCCCCAATGAAATCGTATAAGTCCACGAAAAACCTTTTTTGCCCCCATTGAATCGCATAAGTTCACGAAACACCCAATTTGCCCCTATTAAATCGTATAAGTTTACGAAAAATCCATTTTACCCCTATGAAAATCCATAAGTTTACGAAATACCCATTTTGTCCCTATTAAATCGTATAAGTTCACGAAAAATTGTACGATCAAACGAACTTACCTGTAAGTGAAGTTCGATCGTGATTATATGAAGAGCCTCGTCGAGAGATTTTAAAATACAAGTAGTAGCCCGCCAGTGCTACGTGGACCCACACATCTCCAAAGAGTAAAGGAAAAAATCGGTCGTGGCACCTCTAGCGGCGCCCCACCCATACTTCATTAGTTTAAAGTAACGCGGATTATATAAAAATTGGAGACGGGTATGGGTGATGATAATGGGAGGGACTCAATCTCTCGACGAAGCTCTTCATATAATCACGATCGAACTTCACTTACAGGTAAGTTCGTTTGATCGTACAATTATATTCGAGCCTCGTCGAGAGATTTTAAAATACAAATAGATGTTTAGAGAATATCAACCAATTTTTATTATTATTATTATTATTATTATTATTTTTTTTTTTTTTATCACAGCCAGCACTCATTTATACATGAGTGGGGAGAATAACAAAGCTTACACAACGAAGAATAGAAACATTTTCGGAACGAGAAATAACTTGATGATAATCTATCGATTATTCAGAACGGCTCTAGCAAAAGAGCTCTCGTCTGCCACGCAGGGACGATTATAAAAACGAACAAATACGTTGGATCTGTCTGACCAACCGGCTGTACTCCGAATGACATCGAAACTGATACCTCTGGTAGCTGCTGCTGAAGTAGCTGCATGCTTTGTGCTATACGCAGAAAATCTTGAGATGTCCACCCCCGATTTATCAAGACATGCTTTTATCCATCGAGCCAAAGTTTGGGGTGAAACTGCACCGTAGGGTTTCTTGAGAGCAATGAAAAAATTTGAAATATCGCCCCTAATACTTTCAGTCCGGGACAGGTAAGAGAGGACGGTACTTGCTACACAAACTTGTGGCCTTTCACTTAAAAAAGGGAGAATCAAAAGGGGTTGGTCCTTGCCAATTCTTGAAGTCTTGATCCAGTCCGGTATTTTAATCTCTAGATTTTGAGCCCTTCGTTGGATATTTTCCAACTTGATTAGAGAGAATGTCTGTAGCCTATGAGCTGTGGCTAACGCTAGAAGAGTCACTGTCTTCTCGCTGAGAAGAGTCATGTTTAGTTCATCATTTTTTGGCAGGGATTCTAGGTACGACAAGACGCACTCCGGGTCCCAGGTGTGAGAGTATCTTGGTTTAGGTGGACGCAGCTTGGCCACACCTTTGAAAAAACGTAGGACTGCTGGGTCCTTGCCTAAATCCATATCGGCGATTAAGGAGAGTGCAGAACGGGTAGAATTGAGGGAGCCATATGCTACTCCACGTTCAAACTCTTCGGTTAAGAACTCGAGCACTACTGGACCTGATACAGCAAAATACTCGATGTCTCTGCTTTGGCAAAAATCCCACCATTTGTGGAGTCCGGAGTTGTACTGTTTGTGGGTTGATTCCGTGATTGACTGAGTCATGATGTCTGCTGTTGTTGGAGAACAACCTTTCCTGATGTAGGCTTGCCGGATAATACTCCTGCCACCAGGGTAAGCTGGCAAGCTAGAGGATGGATTATCGATCTGCAAGGAGAGAGTAAAAGATCACTCGAGGGTTTAAATTTTATTGGTTTTCCCTCCAGAGCAGATAGAAATAAGGGGTACCAGGGCTGTGTAGGCCAGAGGGGAACGACCACTATACCCGTCGCTTCATCGCTCAAAAGTTTCCGGATTGTAGGTAAAATTAAGGCGAAGGGAGGAAATGCATAAAAGAAAAAATTTCCCCATTCGATGGTAAAAGCGTCGATTGAGAAAGCGAAGGGATCCCTGTGCCATGAACAGTAGCGATCGCATTTTGCATTGATGCGTGAAGCAAAAAGATCAACCTCTGGTCTGCCAAAACGTCGTACTAGTTGTTTAAAAACATCATCTGCTAGCTGCCATTCCGTATCAATATTAATGACCCTGGATTCGCGATCTGCCTCAACATTCTCCTTCGAAGGAATGTAGGAGGCAAAAATCCAAATATCTCTAGCCTCACACCACTGCCACACCAAACGAGCCAAATTATAAAGGTGAGGAAACCTAGTACCCCCCATGTTATTAACATAGGCGATGGCGGTGGTATTGTCGACGCGAAGTAAAATCTCACAATGAGACAGGTCATGAGCGAAACTGCAAAGAGCTAGGTGAATTGCTAAGAGCTCCAGATAGTTGATACTATATCGTCTCTCTTCTGCAGACCATAAGCCTCTAGCAGTCTGTCCTCCACAGGATGCTCCCCAGCCTGTGAGCGATGCATCGGTAAAAATCGTCATTTTAGCTTTTCTCGACCTGATAGGACTGGAGCAGGATAAGACATGTGCTTTCCACCAGTCGAGGTCTGACTGCAAAGAATGAGGAATGACCATTTGCTGGTCGAAATCCCCATCATTAACTATCAAACAAGACTGTTTGGCCCTCTCCAATGATTTTGTGTAAAGCATTCCATAGGCTGACGCCGGGCAAATCGATATCAAAGAGCCTATCAAGCGAGCAAAGACTCTGATGGTGTATTTTTTACCTGGTTGAATACGATCCAATAACTCTCTAATTGCCAGTCGTTTCTTTTGAGGAATTTCAAGGCATAACTTATTAGAATCAATCACAAAACCAAGGTATTCAATTCGATTGGTAGGGACCAGAGAACTCTTCTCGAAATTAATGGAGAAACCTAAACTAGACAACAGATCGACCGTCTGTTGAGCATTAGAGTAACATTCTTCCACAGATGGAGCGATACATAAAATGTCATCTAAATATATAGACGATACTAGGCCTTTCCCTCGAAGATACCCCATCACTGGTTTCATGATTTTAGTAAAAACATGAGGGCTAGTAGCTAGACCAAAAGGTAAACAAGTGAACTGGAATAATTTACCACGGAAATAAAAACGGAGGAACTTCCTATGATCTGCACATATAGGCACTGAAAAATAGGCGTCCTTCAGGTCAATTTTCGCCATGAAGGCACCCTGTGAAATCAATTTAACTACTGTCCTCATGTCTTCTAATTTAAAGTGAGGGGGTACTATGAACTTGTTAAGTTTCTTGAGATTAAAAATGAATCTCTTCGAGCCATTCGATTTATCCACCAGGAAATAAGAAGAAATAAATTGATCATCACAGGGGGTACATAGTTCAATTGCTCCCAAATCTATCAGCCTTTGTACTTCATTACCCATGACTTTCCCCTCTAGTTCAGAGAGAATCGGCTCTGGAGGAATACTGGATTGAGCAGGGGATGACTTGAAGGGGATTTTATAGCCCTTCACCCACTCCAGAACGAAGGTATCCGTGCAAATACTTCCCCACATTGGTATGAAGTTTTTGATATTACCAGCAAGGACTCTTACCACTTCTTTGCTTCCTGAGCATTGCTTGGGGCTGTTGGAGCTGGAACTTGACTCTTGGGGGGACGGGCTGGTGGCTTGCGATTGTAGGAATTGCTGGGGTAGCTGTTGCTCCCTCGTGGATTCCCTCGAGGTCTTGTGCCCGCTTGTGGTCTCCTGAACTTCACAGGCGGGCCCTTCGGGTTTAAAGAATTTTTCTTTGGAAGAGCTGGAGTAACTTTCAAGTCTTGACTCAGTTTGGACAAGGTCTTGACTTCTTTCACCTTCTCTGAGAGATTGGATCCATACAGTTGGTGATCCGGTGAAGTGGCTTCCAAAACATCACGAACCTGTTTATTGAGGCTCGGTGAAATAAACGCTCTTCTGGTTGAAGAAAAACCTCGATGGATTTGAGTCATTAGTTTTCCTGCATCGCAAAGTTTTTGTAGGAGATCTAGTTTATCGACCTCCTCGTTTTGAAGGAGATCGGAGATTGCAGTCCCCAGCGCGACTAGAGCCGAGCCTGTCAGATTTTGTGAAGCACAAAATTTTTTGTCTCTCTCAATCAGAGCATCTGTTGAGATAGCTAAAATCTCAGGATTCAGTTTTGGAGCTTCGAATTGACATTTTGTTGACGAGCGTGGATAACTGTTCATTAGTTTATCCAAAACCTCTTTCTCCAGGGGTTTTGTCAACCAAAATGTCCAACGAGCCTCCAGCTCACCCTCGAGGGATACTTCTAGCTCCTGGGACTTCGATGGGTCAGCGCCCAAAACTTCCAACACCTCAGGATCCAGGCTCGAGGCCTCATTCTCCAGATTTACAATGACAGGCTCATCCTCTGGAGGAACCGTACCCTCAGGGGGCTGTGTTGAAATGATCGTCTCTGGGACCGATGCGTCTGGCGCGAATATGAGAGGTACAGGAGGCGATTGGGTCTTTTCATCATTCTTGGGAATGTCAGACGCCTTTGAGGCAGGTGATGTCAAATTCCCATTCTCCTGATTTTCTTTGTCCTCTGAAACACGAGGACATAGATAGAAGTTAAATAATGAGTCATTCCTTGAGGATAAGCTCAAACTTCTAACGGCCTCGGACGATTGAGGCTTTGTCTCTAGGATCGAGCCAACGTCCTCGACGGCCATGTTGAGGTTAAACTTACCACGAGAATCGCCGGTTGACTGTCCAAAAAGACGCTGAACCTGATCATTCAATTTTTGAACTTTCCGAAAAATTTCAGCCTTCTCATCGCGATCCTCATGACGTCTCTTTTTATGTTTACCCATAATAGACAACAATATAAATAAAAAACTTTGTTAAACTTTGGAAAATAAATAATAAAATAAAAAACTCTGGAAATTGCGTGTGATCCACTCGTGCACACACGAAACAATGAAGTATGGGTGGGGCGCCGCTAGAGGTGCCACGACCGATTTTTTCCTTTACTCTTTGGAGATGTGTGGGTCCACGTNTTGGAGAACAACCTTTCCTGATGTAGGCTTGCCGGATAATACTCCTGCCACCAGGGTAAGCTGGCAAGCTAGAGGATGGATTATCGATCTGCAAGGAGAGAGTAAAAGATNATACTACTTGTATTTTAAAATCTCTCGACGAGGCTCGAATATAATTCATTTTGCCCCTAAGTAATCGTACAAGTTCACACCTTGCCCCACACCTAGACCCCTACTGTAAAACTCCACATTGATAACACCACCATTCAATAAAATCCCCCCATATATAAGGCTTCGATCCCCCGTCCCCCCCCCCTAATTTAAGTAAATAATACATATGATCTTTATGTAAATACGCCCTTTTCACACCCTACTCCACACCTCGATTCCCTCATGTAAACCCTCTCCCGATTGATAAAACCTCCATTCAATAAAAGCCCCTCCGTATATAAGGCCTTCCCCCTCCTCTCGCCGCCCAATTCGAGTAAATATATATGACCCTCATGTATATACGCCCTTTTGACACCGTACCCCATACCTAGACTTCCTTCGGTGAAACCCTATCCCTATTGATAACACCACCATACATAAAATTCCCTGTATACACGGAAAAAAATAAATCGGTAAAAGTCTTGCGATCGCAAGGAATTTCCCGAAGATTCCAAAAAGCTTCATTGTTTCTCGTGCATGAAAAATGGGGATCCTCGGGAAACTCCTTGCGATCGCAAGACTTTTACCGATTTATTTTTCTCCGTGTATAAGACTCTTCCCCAGCACCCCCTGGATATCGCTACCACCATGTATAGTCCTACCTCCCCCCCCCTCAATTCTCTTCTTTGTAAAATACCCCCTCAAAAAATAAAATAAAAACATTTTCTCGATTTCAGAAAATATTTTTTCTAAAATTAAATATATTTTGGTTTAATATTAATCCCAATTTTGATCATTAATGTTAAACGATTTTTCTCTAAAACTTAGGAAAATTCCTAGATTTTAGAAACCTGAAGGTCAGAAACCACGATTTATAAAATCTAGAAACTTTTTTCTAAAACTTAACCACTTTTTTTCGGTGTGTAAATACATTTTTGAATAAGACTTGTAAAGTTTCTTAAACTTTACTACTGAATTGATGCACATATCTTATATTCCCAATGGGTCTTAAACCGTATGTAACTAAAAGCACCTGGACTATCGGAAATTCAGATCTCTTTCATATCTTAAATTATCGATCTTATTATTTAAGATATCACAGCTATCTTAAATAAAATATAGAAAATACTTAATTTTTGTAAGATACTATCATTCAGATACGATATCCAACTTAATTTAGGACTCCTAATCCTACTTGCCCTCTGAATACTGAATTTCAAGAACGCTTTCAGTAGGGAGTTTTTGTAGTGTACTACCACTATTATGTAATGTTCGGCCCTATTTTTAAAATGTTCGATTGATTTTCAAATAATGAAAATGATTTGCAATAACCAAAATGTTTTCATTTATACGAGCCATTTCCCCCCTTATAGAAAATTCCGGGGTCTGTCCCATAATAAAATCTCAGAAAATCCCAAAACCGTAATAAAACCTTAGAAACTCCCAACACCCTAATAAAACACACCTACAGACCTTTCCCCTGACGTCCCAACCCGAAATCTCGTCCGCTCTCACCTCACAACCTAGAGTCCCCTCATGCCCAAATATGGCCATGCGTCCATCTCCCCTCCACTTTTCCTTTGCACCCTCAGCACTTCCGAGGGTGCAAAGGAAAAGTGAGAACAAAACTGCGGACTTCCCTAATTTTTAGGCAGTTATAATTTCTGCATGATAAGCAGAACATGTAACCAAAATCTCTCGAATAGAGTTGTCCAAGTTGTCACACGGCTTTATAGTCGATCAATTAATCATTCCTTAAATAAATAACAGTTTTATTTGAATAATAAGTTTGTATATATGCATTCATTTAACGGAATCTAACAACCGCATTTTGAAGAAAAGCCTGCTATACCGTTCCCCAATAAATATGAAGCTTTGCTGGGCATCGAGGGGGGGGGGCAGTCAATACGACCGAAAAACCGTCGTTACCACCTCACCTCACCGCCAAAATCGTCCTGGAAAGGTCGAAAATTAAAGGGGGATTTTCTCCTTTAAGAACATTCCCAGGTTTATATTCTTCGCAATTGAATGGTGTAAAGGAAGTATTAGGGGTTTACCTAGTGAAGAAATAAAATTCTGGATCCGTGCTTGTTTTTCCCTGGGAAATTTTTCTTTTAGTTTTTCGGTGGATATGGTGACGTGCGATGTGGATTCAATAAGCGTTAAGCATTATCTAGAAATCCTAATCCATTAAATTGATCGAGTTACTCCAACTTTCAGACGAAATTACTTCGCAGAAGTCTCGAAAACTATTAAAATCTACCGTCAATTCGAGAGAGCAGTGATTACAATCCACACTCTTCAGTGCCCAAAATTCTCAGTGAATTAATTAACTATCTTTCAAAAGAGCTGTGATGACAGGCCAGACTCTTCGGGATCTATAAATTCTGTTCTTTAAATTATAGAATAAGATACACAATTTACATCATACTTCAACCGTCAAACCGTGGAATTCAACCTTCAACTTCCGATTCAACTTTCAATTTCCGAGGGTCCATACAATCAATTGTATTGGAAAATCTGCCGTCCAGAGGTGGAAATGACTTTATGAATGAACAGGTAAACAAAGCTGTTAGTGACTAATTCAGCTTGTTCAAACATTCAGTGTGAGACGCATGACACGCAGCGCATTGCGAATAGTTTTCAATAGTGGTCCAAGTGATTTTTTTGCATTTTCAATTTTTGTTCGGTATCATGGATAGAAAAAAAAACCAAAGGCGGTAGATCAAGACCTACGAGGGATGGAAGGAAGTTCAATCGCTCTAAGAATAAGTATGAAATTGAAAGAGGCACTACGAAATTATTGGGTGCTGCAACTCGCAAATTGCAGGGTGAAAATTATTTTGATATTACCCCAGATACAATAATCGGTTATCGACTTTTGAAATTTTGCAGTGTTTTTGTAGCACTTGCATATTATGTGTCGTGTAAAAATTGTGGTGGTGAAGTCGAATTTGGAGAACGTAGCACGCGTGGTCTAGGATTTAAATTGGAAGTGAAATGTGATCCTGTGTCTATTGACTCCTGTCCACTGATTAATAATGCCTATGAAGTGAATACACGATTCGTTTTTGCGTTACGATTAGTCGGAATAGGCTTGACTGGAGCTGAAAAATTTGGTGCGTTCATGGATCTACCGCGGCCTATCTTTCATATTTTTTATGACCAAATAGTGGGATATATTTGCACCGCGTCGAAAATTGGATGTGACCTATCACTTTCACAAACAGCGAAGGCTGAGGTGACTACTATGGAGAAGGCAACAGGTATTGACAACGTTAATGAAATCAGTGCATCTGGAGACAGAAGTTGGAAGAAGAGAGGATTCTAATCGTTGTATGGGATTGCATCTCTAATAGGCGTCTACTCTGGAAAAATTGTGGATGTTATCATGAAAAGTAGTTCATGCCTAAGATGTGCGTAGATACTTCCCATGAAAGGAACACCTAAATATGATGAATTGTTTGAAAAACACTCTGAAAAATGCAGATTGAATCATGAAGGCTCTGCTGGAAAAATGGAAGTGGATGGAATTGTGGGAAAGTTCAAGCGGACCGAGACTTTACACAATTTGAAGTACACGAAGTATATCGGAGACGGTGATACTAAAACCTACAAAGGGGTGGTTGCTGCTGCTCCATATGGCAACAAACCTGTCGTAGAAAAAACGAAGACGTCCATCATGCGCAAGGGCCCTGAAAATTTCCGGCCCTGAAAAAATCCGTAAAAGGGTTGGGCGGCAAAGGAAGATTGACGGATACTCTTATCAGGGAAATGTCCACTTATTATGGTTTGACTATTCGACGAAATGCAAACAACACCATAGAAAACATGTATGATAATATTTGGGCCACTTTGCATAATAAAACATCGACTGAAGAAAATCCTCAACATTTTTTGTGTCCAGAGGGCCCGCACCCATGGTGCCGTTTTCAACAAGCTGTCGCAAATGGCACCCTTGACTCTTATGTCGACAAAACTCCGATTCAAGAAGATGTTCCAGAACTATTAATACATACCAATATATGAGGAATTATCGAAAGAGGAATTATTGGAACGCTGTCTACGGATTTACTCACAAAATAATAATGAGAGTTTCAACTCTCTGTCTCAATTGCTCTTTTCATCTTAACTCTTATTTTTAATGATGGTATGAAAGCTGTGATGAAGGTTTTCGACCATCTGGGTGTGAAAATTGGTCCAGTGATGTACGAATACTGCAAAGGAAGAGATGCGACTCGCATTGCGACCGCTGAAAGCCGTTCTTCGAGTTCGTCTACGAAGAACCGTTCTAAAAAATCGAAAGATGCTACTGATAATGAAGGAAGCCATGGAAAAGATCCATATTATGGTCCTGGAATTGATGAAGTATGGTGAGTGGAATAATGATTCTTTTGTGTAAGTAAAAATCTCTCCGTAACCGTCCGTACGCTGGGCAGAGCGGTTTCGATGCGGGTGGTCACGCTGGAAAACTTTGACCGCGTTTTGCTCGGAACATAGTATTTCGTTCTAAAAACCGCAATATACTAAAATCGAATTGCTTAATAGCTATAATTTGCATACGAGTCGATTCGTCTCCTATTGAGCTATCGTCTAGCGTACGCATTTTATTCTATGTTTAGAATTTATTTGTGATAGCCCTTTCTACGGTCATTCGACGAGGCCTCCATGAGGCGGCTTATTAA